AGATAACTGTTTTATGGTAATCCTGGTGGAATGAATAAAGACGTAATAGTAAAGTAAGAAGAAGTAAATGAAATTTTCCACTTTACTATTTAATATAAACATGAATTTCCGCCTTGGCAAGAATAGAAATAAATTCAAAGCCTCGATTTATTTACGCCGCGGGCCACAAAGGCATACAGATGTCCCGGTTCCCTCTTTTCCCATGTTTCACGGACTATTTGACGGCACGATGTGCCATTGTACGAATGCTCGGAATTACTCTCCCTTATTATATCCCAGCGACGAATCCTAATAAGGCAAGACTAGCGAAAGTCGGCGAAAACTGGCGGCTTTTTCGCCAGCCGTCGGCTATTACTCCTTCGATTTTTTACTACTTGGGGGCGGCGGCTGGGGAGCGCCCTAATGGAGGCATTTATGAATGTCTAATTTTATGTTTGCGCCCCGACAAATGCCAACTTTTTATTAGCTAGGGTCGTCCAGATTTCCTAATAAAATCGCGCGATGTCCGATTTTGATATTCAGCTGACGCAGTGCTGATTTGTCTTTGGGGAAGGCTCTCCGGCGAAGTAATCATGAGCGGAACACTGAAAGGGTTTTAGGGGATGTGCAGCGGGTGCATGTTAAATATGAAAGTTAATTTGGTTGGGTTGTGGGACGAAAATCGATGCGGATTTTCCTCGCAAGGATCAGACTAATTGGAGTGAAGTTAGTGCAAGTTGGGGCAATTACCTGCAAGATGTTTTTCGGCGAAAGCAAATTTACTTAATGACCTGATCATTCGGAAGATTAATATTTACTTTACGTTGGCCGTTTTTTTAATGAAAGGTTTGGAAGGGGATTTATTGGAGTGAAAAAATTCTCAAAAAAAAAATGAGTGGGACGATCGTAAATCCCGTCTAATGTAATTGAAGTTGCGGCTTATAGTTAGAAGTGTATGTAAGAATTTCGTAAGGAATTTTGCGGTGAAAGCTTTTACCTAAATGTATTTCAGAAGTAATTTCCGCAGCCGCCTTTGCTAGATGTGGTGACTGAACTTGAACTAAAACTAACATTTTTATTTCTTTGCTATATCTCGACTTCAATTTTTGTATATCTCGACTTCGATTTTAGTTTTTTAAATTCCTCGAATTTTCACTTCTTCGATCTTTCAATTATTCATTGTCCCGTTTTTCAATTTTTCGATTACTCGAATTTTCGGTTTTTCGCTTTTTAGATTTTTCCGTTTCTCGAATTTTCAATTTTTCGATATTTCAGGTTCTCGATATTTCGATTTTCTAATTTTTTACCTCGCGGTCTTTCGGGTTTTTGATTTTTCAAATTTTCAACTTTTCGACTTTTCGATTTTTCTCAATTTTTAAGTTCAAAGTGTTGGAAAATGGGGAGATTGATAAATCGAAAAAATCCAGCAATTGAAAAACCGCAAATATTTGCAATTTTTCAATTTTTAAATTTTGCGCTTTTCAATGTTTGGATTTTTTGACAACTTCTAGATTTTTGTATTTTTCGATTATTCAAAGTTTCGATTTTTCCGTTTTTCAGTTTTGAGACTTTTCGACTTTTGAACATTTTGAATTTTGTATATCTCGAACTGCTTTTTTTGTTTGTTCAGTTTCTCGATTTTTCACTTTTTCGATCTTTCAATTATCCATTTTTCACTATTTAAATTTTTCGGTTTCTTGAATTTTCAATTTTTCGATACTTCGGTTTTTCGATTTTTTGATTTTCGTTTTTTCAAATTTTCAACTTCTTGACTTTTCGATTTTTAATTTTTCGATGCTTGGATCATTCGATCTTTCGATTTTTGTATTTTTCCATTATTCAAATTTTTCGATTTTTCAATTTTAAGATTTTTAAGTTTCTTTAATTATCAATTTTTGATATTTCACTTACACAATTTTTAGATTTTTAACTGTTTAATTTTGCGTTTTCGGGGTTTTTCAACTTTTCGACTCTTCGATTTTTCATTTTTTTCGATTTATTGATTTTTCAAATTTTCAACTTTTTGAATTTTCGTTTCGACTTTTAGTTTCTTCAATTTCTCAAATTGTCGAAAAACGGTGAGATCGATAAACCGAACAATCAAAAAATTCAGAAATTGAAAAACCGCAAAAATTTTCAACTTTTCAATTCCTCGATTTTTCAATTTCTAAGTTTTTTTTGATATTTCACGTTCACAATTTTTAGATTTTTCAACTGTTGGATCTTTGCGTTTTCCGGGATTTTCAGTGTTTCAACTCTTCGATTTTTCAGGTTGTTAATTTTTCGATTTTTCGATTTCACGATTTCTGATTTTTCGATTTTTTGATTCTTCGGTTTTTCATTTTTCAAAAGTCGAAAAATCGGAAATGAAATGAAAAAGCGCAAAATTTATAAATTAAGAAATGGTTAATTTTAACTTTTCTTTTATTTCAAATACTTATTTCGTTTTAAATACGTATTACGTAATGATAATTATAATTTTGAAGCTTTTCACTTTTTCAGTTTTACGATTTTAGAATTTTTTCATTTTTCAATGATAGGATTTTAAGACTTCATTTATTCCAATTTTCAATTATTAATTTTTGAATTTTTCTATCTTTCCGTGTTACAGTTTTTCGAGTTTTTTGACGATTTTATGATTTTTAGGTTTTTCAATTTTCCGATTCGATTCCTTTTTTTTTTCAATGTTTCAATTTTTCGTTTCTTCAGCTCTTCGGTTTGCTTTTTTCTATTTTCCACTTTTTCGATTTCGTTTATTCAGTTTTTCAATTTTGTCCAATTTTTTAGTTTTTCGGTCTTTAATTTTTCGGTTTTTCTACTTTTCGAATAAAAAAAATGGAAAAAGTGTAAAATCGTAAAACTGAAAATTTTTTCCATGGTTTCGTTTCTTCATTTTTTCATTTCTTTTTTGTTTCTTCAATTTTATGCAACTCTTCTAGTTTTGCATTTTTTATATTTTTAGTTTTTCGATTTCTAGTTTTTGAATGTTTGAATTTTTCATTTTTTCAATTTTTCAAGTTGCAGTTTTTCGTTTCAATTTTCTGTTTTCTTTATTTATTCAATTTGTTTGGTTTTTCATTATTACGATTTTAGATTTTTCCATTTTTCGTTTAATGGATTTTAAAACTTCCATTTATTCGATTTTCCAATTTTTCGATTTTTTAACTTTTCGATTAAAAAAATTGAAATTGAAAAAATCAAAAACGAAAATCAATATATAAAATGAAAACTTTCTAAAATCTAAAAACTGGAAATCAGGAACTTGAAAAATTGAAGAAATGAATAATTGAAAAATCGAAAGATTAAAAACTGAGAAACATAAAAATCGAAAAAACGAAATATGTATTATAAAATCGAAACATTGAAAATTAAAAAAATCGGAAAATCGGATAATTGGAAATCCAAAAATTGCGAAATTGAAAAATTAAAAAAAATTAACATCAAGAAAATGAGAATTAAAAAATCGTAAAAATGAAAAATCGGTAATTGAAAAATTGTAATATCAGTTTCAAAGTTAAATTGCACGATCTTGTTAGACAATTTTGATTTTTTTTCCAAAAATCTGGGTGTCTAGTGTGAAAATCAACGTCACAAGTGTACATATTATTGTAAATTTTGGAGATGACGTCATCCCAGTGGTGGTGGGGATGATTAGCTCGTCGAATAATTCTAACAGGAATATCAGAGGAAAATTAATGATATATTGCTTAGCAGAGTTTTTAACAAAAACTAACAATTATTGAAAATAATTGTTAAATTGTTAATAACAGGCCGCAGAGTCTTTAAATGTTTGTTAGTGGTACAATTTGTTTAAATAATAATGTGATTTTAATAAACACATATTATTTAAACAAATTGTACCACTAACAAACATTTAATGACTCAGCGGCCTGTAAGAAGTGATGTTTTATCCATGTGCGAATTTTCAAGCGATTCTATGATGGTTATGACCCAAAAAACTTGAAAAGAAAACATACAATGGTGGTTTTTTTACGATATGTCTCAGCCATATTTTTTTAATTGATTGAACTGGTCTCTGCGCTCTAGAATATGAAAAAAGCTGCAGTTCGATGTATGATACATCTATATTAATATAATTTTTTCATACAAAAAACCAAAAAAATGTTACCTCGTCTAGCGAGTCCCCTTAAGTGTTCTAAATAAGTATTAAATAGCAGATAGATGTATTTAGGGACACTAGTTAATGTATAATAGTTAGATTTTTCTTTCTATATGGACATCTGTCCGTTGGAAAATAGACCTATTATTATTTTTATTATTAAAATGTTGCCAAAACTGAGTCACGCTAATGGCATGGGACACCGAATCCCGAGCTCCGCTTCGATCACGATCTAATTACGCTAAAAGCTCAATCAGATCAACAACATCCCGATTCTTGTGCGACCCGCGATTAGCTAAAGGCTTATCCATAGCCATTAAGCCTCCTCTCGACTTTCTTGCTTTGCTCCCACTGAAAATATTTGCCCCAGCGGAGTTGGACGGCGGGATTTTTGCTCGAGCGTCGATAATGTGAAACAGTCGAGTGGGCTCGGGCTGGGGATGATCTAATTGGATTTTTTCTTATGATAATGGGACTTTGGATATTTGGTCGATTCGGGAGGCCTGAGGGAAATCGGATCCGGGGAAGTAAGGCGATTTGACGGGGTTTTAGCGGGGTTGTTTGTGGCGCGAGAGGGGATGATGGATTAAAGAAGGTGTGTTTGAAGTCTGAACAAGTGCGCGAGAAGATTTGGAAAGGGTCTTTGGGGTTTTAAGAACATTTTGTTTCAGTCTTAAGGGTATGAGATACTCAAAAGGAAGTCGGTTTGTTAAATATTAAATACAAGGATTTTTTATTTCCTCTGTTTTTAATTTTGTTAAAATGTGTTAACAATGATCGTAGCAGATTGTTTCGGTGGTTCTACCGTTAAAATTAACATTCCCGCCCGAATCGATACCGACCGAAAAATTATAAACTCCTTCATGCAAATCCCAAATCTAAATTACTAAATTTGTTTCAGGTCGGGCTTTCCAAACTGAAGGAAACCGTCGCCCCATCCGACTCGGATAAGACCCCCGACACCCGCTACGCCCTCGACTACTACCCCTTCGCCGTGGTTTTCCGCCTGCGAGTCCTCCAGGTGAGCCCCCGCTCCCGCACCACCCGAAGACCCCTCACAAACATCCCGATTATTAATATTCCCTCGAACAAAACAAGGATCCGTTTTTTCCCGACCGCATAAATAATGCTCCAAGTCCGCCGTAATTAAATTTTTATGCAAATATTATTGTTAACGCACATCCAATTTTGGCATAACAGCCCTCCGAAATAAACCCGTAATTAATGAGCTCCTGTTTTGCCGCTCTAGATCGTTTGCGGCATCTCGTTCTTGGTAATCGGAACCGTGGCTTTCATCGAGGAGAAGGGACGGATGAACCTGGGACTGGGGATTCCCGCAGGAGGAGCCACGATTCTCGCCGCAGGTATTTCTTTGCGTTTTTTACAATTTCGAACACTGAGAAAGAGACTTGAGAAAAAGAACGTCGTTATTCGGTCGAACAAAGGAACGAAGTAACAAAGGGGATTTTAGGCTGAAGGGGCTTAATTAGTGGATTCTGCACTCGGGTTTTTGTGCGTGCGATATTTAAAACTCGAGAACGAGTACGACAAGAGTATTGATTTTAATAATAACAATTTGCTAAATCGTTAATCAAAACATATTCGTTTATCTCCTCCAAAAAATTGATGACGCCATCTCAAAAATTTGACTAATAAATCCCTTCTGAAATACTCAGTTTTTAGAATTACTTATGCAGGGTGACTCAAAAAAAAATATGATTGAGGTAGTTTACTATTGATTTGAACAAGAACGACTCACTCCATTTTCCCGAAAATTTGGCAATACAGTACAAAATATAGATGACGTCATCTCAAAATTTTGTAATGGAAAAACTCACCTGAAACAATATCTTTATTTTAACTAATAAAGATTATCATAAAAAAATACAATTCGCAAAATCAAATTTTATAATTTTTCGAAAAATCTGGATTTACGTACCTTCGACCAATTTTTTGTTTTTTCATTGTCTTTCGTTTTCAACTTTTTCATTTTTCCATGTTTCAGTTTCTCGACTTCCAAGTTTTTCAATTTCTCAATTTTTAATCTTTCGAATTTCGAATTTTTTGTTTCTTCAATTCGACAACTGCTTGATTTTTCAAAGTTTTCATTTTATATTTTTCGTTTTTTCATTTTTGATTTTTCAATTGCACTTTTAACTTTTTATTAATAATTCTGAAAATCCAAATATTCACTAAACAGATAAGATAAATCCAATGATAATTTTCTCAAAATTATAACTTAAAAAATTCTAGAATAATTCCAACGAAAAAATTCCGGGTAATTCCAAATTAGCGGACTAATGTTAAATAATTCCAGTATAGGTATAACACCTATATACAATTAATTAACTTTTTCCGATTTTGTAGTTTTTCGCTTTTGCAATTTTTCCATTTTTTTAATTTGAATAGTGAAAAATCAAAAAACAAAAAAAACTGAAAAATCGAAAAATTTCAAAATGGAAACAGTGTAAGATAAAAAAATTGCAAACCCAAGGACTGAAGACACGAAATATTGAAACATTGGAAAACGAGAAATCGAGAAAGTGTAGCACTGAAATATCGAAAAATTGAAAAATTAAAATCGAAAAACTGAAATATCGAATACATGGAAAAAGTTTTAATCACCATTACACATTAAAAACGAAAACTGGAAAAACTGCAAATCAAAAATTGCAGGAATGAAAAATTGAAAAATCAACAAACTCAAAAATCTGAAAATGAAAAAACGAAAAATTGCAAATCGAAAAACTAAAGAATTGGTCGAGAGTTGTTTCAACAGAACTTCCCTCGCTCCTGAAGTAAAATGAACATAAAAAATAAACACCCAATCAGATTTAGGAAGTACTAGCCCCGCCCACCCACCCCCTGTTTTCTCAGAGCTTATGTCATTTGCCAAAAGAAGTCTTATCTCAACAAGTACTAGCCCCGCCCACCCGCTCCCTATTTTTTCAGAGGATATGTCATTTGCCAAAATAAATATTATCTTACCAAGTACTAGTCCCGCCCTCTATTTTCTTAAAAGGTATGTACTAGGATAAGACTGATTTTGGCAAATGACAATCCTCTGAGAAAATATGGGGTGGGTGGGCGGGGCTAGTATTTGCTAAGATAGAACTGATCTTGGCAAATGCCATACCCTATAAGAAAATAGAGGGCGGGTGGGCGGGGCTAGTCCTTGCTAAGATAAGACTAATTTTGGCAAATGACATATCCTCTGAGAAAATACAGGGCAAATCTCAAAAATGTGAACGCAATGTGAATTACAAGTAAAAACTCATCATATTTTGCACATTTTGGATAGAATTTATTTGGCAAAATTTTGAGATGACGATGACGTCATCAATTTCTTGGGGGGAATAAACAGATATATTTAGTTACATGCTTACAATAACTTCAAAACGTCTGCAAAATTTCAAAGTATTCAGTTCTGCAGCTCTTGATTTAATCAATGTAATATATTGACTCAGCCATTTTCACGAAAATTTGGGAATACAGTACAAAATATAGATGACGTCATCTCCAAATTTTGTAATGGAAAAACTCCCCTAAAACAATATCTTTATTTTAACTTATTACGGTTATCATAAAAAAATAAAATTCGCAAAATCAAATTTTATAATTTTTCGAAAAATCCAATTTTTTGATTTTTCATTTTCTTTCGTTTTCAACTTTTTCATTTTTCAATGTTTTTTCAAGTATAATTTTTTCAATGTTTCAGTTTCTCGACTTCCAAGTTTTTCAATTTCGCCTTTCTTCATTGTTCGATTTACAATTTTGCAATTTCGCAATTTTTCGAAATTAGGAGTACAATTTTTCATTTTTCGATTTTACAGTTTCTTAATTTTTAATTTTTTGATTGCCCAATTTTTCGTTTTTTCAATTTTTCAAATTTTCAGTCTTTGATTTTTCAATTCCTCAATTTTGCAATTTTTTAATTTAATAATAATAATAATAATAATAATATATTTATTTATCCAGCAGACTAATATATAGTCCATAGTGGATACAACCACAGGAACAATATTAAATTTACAATAAACACATAAACAATATTAAATTTACAATAAACACATAATGCTCACAACATTGGTACACTTACACATGATTCAATTCCAACAATTGTTTCCTTACATTAGCTTACATTTCCAGTTATCCGATTTTTCGGTTTCTTTAATTTTCAATATTTCGATTTTACAATAGGTACATATATCGTTTTTTCAATTTTGCACTTTTTCGATTTTCAATTTTCTCAATTTTTAATCTTTCGAATTTCGAATTTTTGTTTCTTCAATTCGACAACTTCTTGATTTTTCAAAGTTTTCATTTTATATTTTTCGTTTTTTCATTTTTGAATTTTCGCTTGTACTTTTAACTTTTTATTAATAATTCTGAAAATCCAAATATTCACTAAACATTCGATAAAGATAAATCCAATGATAATTTTCTCAAAATTATAACTTAAAAAATTCTAGAATAATTCCAACGAAAAAATTCCGGAGAATTCCAAATTAGCAGACTAATGTTAAATAATTCCAGTATAGGTATAACACCTACATATATTTAATTAACTTTTTCTGATTTTGTAGTTTTTCGCTTTTGCAATTTTTCCATTTTTTTAATTTGAATAGTGAGAAATCAAAAAACAAAAAAAACTGAAAAAACGAAAAATTTCAAAATGGAATCAGTGTAAGATAAAAAAATTGCAAACCGAAGGACTGAAGAAACGAAATATTGAAACATTAGAAAACGAAAAATCAAGAAAGTGTAACAGTGAAATGTCGAAAAATTGAAAAATTAAAATCGAAAAACTGAAAAATCGAATACATGGAAAAAGTTTTAATCATCATTACACATTAAAAACGAAAACTGGAAAAATTGCAAATCAAAAGTTGCAGGAATGAAAAATTGAAAAATCAACAAAGTGAAAAATCTGAAAATGAAAAAACGAAAAATTGCAAATCGAAAAACTAAAGAATTGGTCGAGAGTTGTTTCAACAGAACTTTCCTCGCTCCTGAAGCAAAATGAAACATAAAAAATAGACACCCAATCAGAATTAGGAAGGACTAGCCCCCCCACCCACCCCCCATTTTCTCAGAGCATATGTCATTTGCCAAAATAAGTCTTATCTTAACAAGTACTAGCCCCGCCCACCCGCCCCCTATTTTCTCAGAGGATATGTCATTTGCCAAAATAAATCTTATCTTACCAAGTACTAGTCCCGCCCTCTATTTTCTTAAAAGGTATTTGCTAGGATAAGACTGATTTTGGCAAATGACAATCCTCTGAGAAAATATGGGGTGGGTGGGCGGGGCTAGTACTTGCTAAGATAGAACTAATCTTGGCAAATGCCATACCCTATAAGAAAATAGAGGGCGGGTGGGCGGGGCTAGTCCTTGCTAAGATAAGACTAATTTTGGCAAATCACATATCCTCTGAGAAAATAGGGGGCGGGATCTAAAAAATATGAATGCAATGATGAATTACAAATGAAAACTTTTTTGCACATTTTGGATAGAATTTATTCGGAAAAATTTTGAGATGACGTCATCAATTTCTTGGGAGGAATAAACAGATATATTTAGTCACATGCTTACAATAACTTCAAAACGTCTATAATATATTGACTCAGTCATTAATTTTTTTGAGACACGCCGTATAAGCAAATGTAGTGATAAATCACAAGTATAGAATAATCATATTTTGCACATTTAAGACAGGATTTATTGAGCAGTATTTTGAGGTGACGTCATCAATATTTTAGGGAGGATGAACAATACATTTTGATCAAAAATCTACCATGCTTATGATAACTTTAAAACATTTCCAAGATTTCAAACTATTAGGTTTGCAGTTCCTGATTAAATCAATAAAATAAATTCAAGCATTCATTAATTTTTTTGAGTCACCCTGTATAAGCAAATCCAATACATATGAATCGAACGATAAATCACAAGTATAAACTAATCATATTTTGGACATTTTAGATTTATTCGGCAAAATTTTGACCTGACGTCATCAATTTTCTGATTTTGATTTTGACATTTTGATCAAAAATTTATTTTAACATCTGCAAGATTTCGGGAAGTAAAAGTCCAAAAATTAAAACAATTTACCTTAAAAAAAAAGAAATCTTATCTAATCAGATCATTAAAAAACCAAAATATTGAAAAAATAAGGAACATAAACGACCAAAACGAAAAATTGCAAATCGAAAAATCGAAGAAACGAAAAACTGAAAAAAATCAAAACTGAAAAAAAAAAACAAAAAATTATAAAATCGCAACATTCAAAAATCTAAAATTTAAAGAACTGAAAAATTAAAAATTGAAAACTCGAGAAATTTTAAACAGAAAAATTGAAGAA